GGACGGTCGAGCTGAGCTTATAAAATTTCAAGTAAATCGGTTGAATATTTACTTCAAAATGTTCAAAAATGTAAAACAGGCCCGCTAAAAAGTGCAGTTCCCGAGGCCTGATATATACCGAAAGTTGATCAATCCGTGCCATCGTGAAAATAAACTTACATATAAAATTTCATCAAAATCGGTTCAGCCGAACTTGAGATACACGCGTGCACGCACAGACCGACAGGTTGCTAAAAATAGTTTATTTACACTTCCCTACTATGGAGGAGTACGTTCCCACCGAAAACTCGATATGCAAAATTTGTTGCCATCACATAACCTACCTATTGTATACACAATACGGTCGGTAAAAATTGTTAACTGAAGATTTTGTCCAACTGTACAAGTTATTAAGAACCTTATATTCTATTCGAGTAAAAATTATTCAAATATAAAAAAACGAATAAGCCTATGATTCAATTTGAACCCAAATTCACTGAAATGAAGAAAAACCCTATTTATACGTCAATAGTTCGATGGAAAGAATATTTTCATTTTTCACCAAGAATATGTCATGAATATGTGTAATTGTAAACGAAATGAAAGTACTTTTATTGTAATTAAAATTAGTATCGTTATAAGGTATTATACTATCGATTTAACACTTCTTGTTGGTGTAACTTCGCTTTCCATACTTATGTTACATACTCATGTAAAGAGTGATCTGAAAATCTACTTTAACGATGCCTTAAAGTGCATCTTATTATTGAAGAATGTTAAATTCTAACTTAGATGTTTTTCTTGGATCAACTGATCAAATTTGAGTTTCACTTTAAATTTTCATTTTTGATTAGTTTTAAATAAGGAACATGTGTTGGCAATTTTATTTTGATTAAAAACTTATTGCGATTTAAGTCGAATACTGTAAATGTTAATTTATCAAAATCTATGATAAAATTAACAAAATCGATTAAGATCAGTAGAATTACAGTTCATTTAATAGTTGCTTAAAAAGACGATGAAATTTGTGAACTAATATAATTTATGTATACTTTTCCTTAAAAATTTGTTATTCTTTATCTTATTTTCTTCTGAAATATTCCTTCTCGATTTCAGTATAGAACTTGAAGAAAAGCAAATAGATAACAATTTCATTAATTTTCATCTCAGTGTGCCAACCTATTTTGTGTTTTCTTTAATCTGCTATGTAAGTAAATGTTGAGCAGAAGGAAAAGGATGCTATTTTATATATGGTTCATATATGAAACGCAAGTTATATGTTAATGCTACATATACATGTACGATATGAAGGTAATTTTCGTTTTTTGTGTTCAAAATGTCACCATTTTGCGTTAACATTGCGTGTAAAAGTTAAAATGCTTTCACATGATCATCACACTAAATCAGCATGTCATAAAAAGAATCATAAAAAGAATCAGATTCTGATTATAAGCGCAGCTTAAATTTATCGCAAAAAATTATATATTTTCAAAAATATTTGTAATATAATGAAACCGACAAAGTATCGACGGGAGTAAAGTTCTGCAATACCAATTTGTCGTTTTAAGAAAAACTTTTTGAGAAGAGTTTTTTATTTGTCAATTTTATTTCAAATTATCTAAAGCTTAAATCAATATTCAATTAATATCTAGTGAAATATGATGAAAATGTTTCGAGTTTAAAAGTCCCAGTAAAAAATTCGAAATTGGCACATCACAGCAGTTCTGATTTGGAGCACTAGTTCTCCGGAAAGTTAATTACAGCTGTAATTCTTTTGTACTACATATTTGTACTCTTGCATTTCTTGAATACGGAAAAATGCATTTTAGTTGAAAAGTCGACATGCGAAATATGTTTGGCTTCTACTTACTACCTATACTTTTACGTATAGCTGCATTATCTTACTTCTACTGACTACTATACCATCTTCAACTTTTGATAAATAAAATTTTTTTTTATATATTAAGTGACATTAATAAAGTCAAAGTATTTTCTATTTCATTCCATGTGTTCCACGTTGGCCAATACCACAATTCAATAGATATGGTGACTTTATCAATTAAAAATTGAATGACTATAACTGATTGCTGTTGAAATAATTTTTCAAAATAATAATAAAAGCAATAAATACGTATGTAATCTGTAATTATATAAGTTCGTTCTACACATTGTAGGTAACTAATTATCTAGAGTTTTGTAATCGTCTCCTTTAGAGCCTTTATTTTTCATTTTACATTATTGATCATTTTGTTTTCCTATATAATGTATACAAAATTAACTGATTATTTGGTTTTAAAATGTTAAATTTATTCACTTAATTTAGAGCACATAATGGTTGAAAGATGCACCAAATATATACTAAGAATTCTAAAGAATCATTTAGTAGATGTAGGAAAATGTTATCGGTGTATAAAAACGAACTTATCACATGAGGCAACGAGAATAAAAATTATTTATTAAAAAAATTGGAGGCAATGTAAAATATAGTACATAAGTGTATTTAGTCTGAGTTTGCTATCGTCGAATAGGCTGATTTGCATATCAATCGCATTATCAATGGTTTGTAAGAATAAAATACAATATGAAGAAAAAATGGTAATGAAAGAACAAAATCACCAAGAATGAAATAAAATCTCTTAATAAAAATCCTTTTTATATTCCTTTATTTTTATATTTACAATTTTATAGTTACGTTATGTGGACACACCTGGATACACCTTGTATTCAGATTTTTTCCTCCTTTTATCTTTTTTCCTTCACCATATCATATTAAATGAGGTTTAAGTGTGTGAAATTTATGCAATAATAAGCAAAAAATAAAAAGCAACAAAAAAATATTTTAATTGAACATGACATTTTCGGGCAGATAAAAGGGTAAAAAGACCAAAACAACGGATAGTAAAATTTATAATCGTATATGAAACCAATAAATGAAAAGAGAGCGAAATTCTAATCTTAACAAATAAGAAGGCAATTGTTTTAATGAATTACTCAGGAGAAATATAGAGACAATAACAATAACAACTAAAAATGAATATTTTATTTGAATCTTTTTAACACACAAAGCATAAAATAAGCGTGAATCCTTGTAATTATGCTCATGTAAAAATCATCGCTTATCCAGACTTATTAGATTGGTTTAATACGCTAAAGAATTGATTTAGTTTCTTGCACACTCTCTGTATTTCTACATATAATTTTTTATTTTTTTTCACAAAATATTTTATAAAAGGTCTTCATATATAAAATGTTTTATGGTGTGTGCATGAAAAGTTTATAGAGAAAATAGGTTTTAATATGATCGTAAATTCTTTTAGTTTGTAAAATTTATTAGAAATCATTCAAAGATTAATCAAGGTTAATAAAAGGAACTTTAAAGGATAAAATTATTGAACAATAAGATGAGCATTTATTTATATGTATAACAGTTTCAGAAATGAAAAAAAAAATTATAATGTCGAGGTCTTTTATGTTATATACAAGACTTTGACAAATACAACTAGTTTGATTAACATTAAACATAACAGGTGAGTCAAATGAATGCAAGAGATTATTTCCCCTCAGACACTGGACCGATTCGTGACTTATTGCACCACACTCTACGTTTTCGTGTATAATACGTCTGTTCCATATATAAAACTGAAGATTACCCAAGCAAATTGGGGACGGCGGTATTTGTGTCTCACCAGTGAAGGTTTGTCAGAAGCAGGCAGATATTTCTACTCCTGTCGGCGGAAGCAGACAACTCACAGAAAGCTAACTGCTGCACGAAGTCATCATTGACATCGGTGTCCCTATGTGTACTATATTGGACGCTATGGTGCACTCATTTGCCAGCAATGAGTGTGATACTGAACAGGATATTTGTGGTCGAAACAATAACGGAATAAATAAGCGTCCAAAAAAATCTTTTTCAGGATCGAATCACTTTCAAAAAAGTCTTTGTGAGTCCTATTGATCAACTCTTTTCCAGCTTTCAAGAATAATTATTCAAGAATAATTATTCAATATATATGTTAAAGAACTTTAAATTGGTCCTAAAAGTCTAGTTACTGATATGTACCTAATTTTCTCAAAAATTTAGGTCAGCCATCATGTAAGTCGTAACTTATATAAAAATTGAAGAAAAGCTGTTGAATTTTTTCTTAAAAATGATTGCTGGGACTTGAAGAATTGTAAAAGCCGATCTATCCGTGACATGATCATAAAGTAAACTGAGAAATTATATTTTTTATATTTTGCCTAATTAAGATATATTATTAGGCACGAAAAATTTTCATAATCATTAAAATTATGTAAATAAATTTAACCAATATTAAAAGTATTTTTTCCTCAGAAGATTTTAGAAATTGTTGTTAAAGCGGAAGTTTTTAAAATAATTGCGTATATTTTTAGTTGCTCTTTATTTAATCTTTTCAGGCATTTGAATTATTAAATTTCAATTATTTTGCTTTCTTATTCAGTCAACAGATTTAATGCACAAAGTTTATTACTACAGTCTTAGTATGCAGCAGAAATTAAATACAATTTTGTATACGGGTATACATTAGAAATTTTGTATACATTGTGTATAATAAAATTATAATGCAATACAATGCAATATATTTTTGGTAACTGTGTATAAAAATTAGAAAGGACATGTGATTTAATTGCGCTGATCATAAAAAATTTTTCATTTTGCTTATAAATTAGAAAGTGGACACAACTGTTTCGCAACATTTTCTTTATGAACCTTAGCACAGGGCTGTTTTGACTGTAATATTCCCGTATATTGTGTTTATAAAAGCCTCTACTATTTTATTTTGTAATATTTTGCTTTGTAACTATAGTTATGAGTTATATACGATTTTTATTGCATTGTAGTAATCTTAAGGACGTATTTTTTTGAAATCCAAAAATAAGAAACAAAATCGAGTAACGTATGCATTTTGTTGTCGATCGCTTACTTGCAATTTATTTTCAATTTTTTTTTTACAAATATTTTTTTGACAAGTAAGTGATAACACAAATTTTTTATTTTTAAAGATGAAAATTACAAAAATATCTTTTGAAATTACGTTTGTACATATATAATACTCGAAATATTTTAAATACCTTTCTCAATCGCAAATAGGACTATATACCATACCTGGTAGAAAACATAATATTTTAATCATTCAAACGACAATATCGTTTGCTTCAGGCACGTATATGATTAGTATAATAAGAGTAAAATGAAATATAGAAAATTTATGTTTATTCCTTGTTTGAATGTTGCAGCAAGTGAACCGAATCATATGCACTCAGTAATATTTAACATTGACTTTATATAAGAAGATTACATAAATATTATTATAACAAAAAATATATTCAAATGAGATGATTTTGAAATGTTGTTCTTATTTTCTCCATGTAAAGTTAGTTAGCATATAAAGTCTAATATATTTTCTCTTAATTTTTTTTTTTTATTGAATATTTTCTAAAACATTTCTAAATACAAAACGGATTAATTTAAATTTCTGATATATAAAAGGGTTTTTTTTTTTTTAAATTAAAATTAAAAAAATGAGAATTTTACATAAACAACATATTTGTGTAAGTATGTGTACTAAGAAATCGTGAATTGAATAATATTTATTAAGCATCTTATGCATCACTGTATACACATAAATACAATCCTTTACATATTTTTATAATGATCATTATATGGATTATTATATAGTATATGCAGATGCGGTTCTGCCTCGATCGGGGCTCTACGCGTTCTTCAAAATGTGCGCCCGCCACTTTCAAAGGAACGGCCAATATGCGACAAACTACGGACATTTCATTTAATAAAAACTTTCTTGGAATTTTATCATGTTGTATGCAAGATTAGTCGTAGAATTAAAGCCTGAGACTCAAGCCACAGCTTTTTGTTTTGCAATGTTTGTATATATACTCGTATATAGGTAAGTTAATTTTGTTGTGAATGAAAGAAAAAAATTTGAAAAAATTTTCACTTTTTTAAATTTACTTATTTTTAAGTTTCCAATAGCGCCCCTGCTTTCCGATGCTCACTGCAAATGTCTACTTTATATATGGAAGAACCAGCGCTGAGTATATGTTAGCCAACTATAAGGTGTGATTTAGTTTTATTTTTCAGTTAAATTTTTTTGTTTTTTTGAAAATTTTCTTATTTTCTTGTCTTAGAGACGACGACTTTTACAAGATATCCTCTATCTGCATAATATAGAAAATGTTTTGTTGATTTATTTTTTTTTTATTTTTTTCATGTCTTGAATTAATTTGTATTAAAAGAGAAAAAAGCTGTAGGCTACTACAACCGAATTGAATACTAAAAAGAAATCAAGAAAATATTCTTAGCATCTCACTAATAAACTACCTTTTCTTTTTTGTTCTTATATAAAATATAGAAATTTAAAAGTTATATTCGATCAAATTTTAATAATGCTATTTATATAAGATCAAAATAAATGAAAAAGAAATTTTTATTAAAAGCAAAATGTATAATTGTTTGCTTATGAATTGGAACAAAATTAAAATAGCTGATGAACGAATTCGAGACGAATTGGTTATAATAAATTCAGTTGAAGGCAAGGGTTTCTTAAGAAATAATTCAAATCGGGAAAAACAAGTGTTTTTTATACAAAATATGTTTCATAATATTCTGTTATTGCATATATTTAGGAGGAGAAAGAATTTTAATATTCAATTTCAGTAAATTATTAAGTTATAGACGTTGATTTAAGACAACTAAGAAAAAGATTCTCATTTGCAATTTTGGAACAACTTTTTATTTGAAACCGTGACCCCCATCAGTTTAAAAAAAAAACAAAGCAAGATGTAATTAAACCCTTTTAATTTAAAAAGTTCATTCTTATTAATCCTTTTTAGTAGTCCAATTCAAACACTTCTTTTATTTTACTAAGCCCCTTCCTAGTAGTATGCAAAAATAAAATAGTAATTTATTTAAAAGAGTAACTTCTACAAGAGCCTAATAAAACAGTTGTCTAATTTGAATCTATTTAATTAGTAGAAACGAATGTTTCCATGTATGCCAAAATATGGTTGCTAGGACGGAAAATTATATTATTTTATATAGTCCTTAAAACCGAACATATCTAAGTTTTAAGGTTGAATTTTTATTTTTAACGATTAATAAAATTTTAAAATAAACTATGAAAATTTTTTAGTTAAAAATTGCATAAAAAGAATACCTACATAGAAAACAAAAGTGCATTTGAAAAGAGAAGTGTTGTTTTAGTATAGTATGTTTGCTTTTCAATTTTACATTATGTTATACAGTCACATACATGTATATATATACATACTTACACAATGTATTATGATGGTTTGATATTTACGGGTAAAATGTGTGCTCATACTAACTCACTTAAAATGAATTGCTTTTAACTTTAAATACGATCAGTGTCGATATTTTATCTAGTTTATTGTCATTTATGTAAATTTTCTCATTGCCTAAAGGACAAAATATTTGAAATATTACAAAAATTTGCATATACATTTCAATGTTTTTTTTGTAATAGTTGTTTAAAGGGACTTTTAAGCATAATTCATACATATATATATACATATATATTGTACATCGTGCATTGGAAATAGTGTAAAAGAATATCGGAACAAGTAAGAAAGGAAGATTTTTTCTAAAAGATATTTATTACCCTTTTCAACATACACCTAAGTAGAAATTTTCATTGTTTCTTTTAGTTTCTTGCTTTTTGTTACGAAAACAATATTCGTTATAATATTCTTATATACTTTTTTGGATTAGAATGTGTACGTATGTAGTTAAAACAATTGTATTTTATTAGTATTCGAAAAGTCAAAGTTCCGATATTTAAATTTTTGAGCTGTTTTTTAAAATTGCATAAAAACCCTAGTCATCATGGCAATGATTCAAAAATTTTTTAAAAGAATTCTTAAATTTTAATTTCTTCTATTTTCTGTTATTAATTGGATATTACTTCAATGGGCTTTAGAAAAATAAGAAAGCAATAGTTTCCTTTAAATTTCTATAATAAATTAAATAGAATTGGGAGAAAGGAAAATCACTGGCTTAAACGTCATTCAGTACAATTTTGAAATTATCAATTCGATCTCCCGATATGAGGCTTCTTTTTTACTGCGTAATTTCTTTATCATAATAACTTTTAACCGGCTAGGAAATTCATAGGGTAGAAAGTTTATTAGGTTTCAAATAATAATAATCTCTGGGTTATTGCAAAATCGAATATCTACTAAAATGTTTAGTTTCGCTACTGAATATCTAATTCATTTAATACAATATTTTTATTGGAATTCAAAAACAAACTTAAAAATTCCTGAAAAAGCAAAATCAAAATGAAAAAAAAAAATTTAAATTCTTTTATATATTTGGCATCTTACAATTGACTGGATTTAATTGAATTTTATTTTTTTTTTGTTTACTATTTTTCCCAACTTTTTGTTATTTAATGTTTTCAAGGTTCCTCTAAATAAGCTAAAAAACGAGCAAAAAAAAAATTGAGTGTAACAAGAAAAACTGATCTTGCATATTACACATTTCGCTACACACAGATCAATTTTCATGCGTTTTTAACTTTTCATTGTAAATTATTTATGAGCTCAAATGGTTAAAGGTTAGTTTCGGTTTCAAACAAGAAGAAAGCAAAAATAACAAGAAAAAAAACTAAAATTCATAACATAATGTAAAACAAAAAAAAAAAAATAGAAAACAAAATGAAATAAGGATGATGGTGTTATCCTCGTAGATTATCGACATTTACATAAATTATTTACAATAAAATTACCTGCACGTATATTAAAGTTTAAAAACCTTTATATTATAAAAATTCATAGTTCTACTGCAATAATAACTTTAAAATCTTGGTAACTTAGATAGAAAAATTTTGAAAATAAACGTTAAATTCTTAAAATTCGCTTAATTTTTTCTTTTTTATAAAGCAGATCAGATCTTAAATTAACTTATTTTTCCCCTTAAAACAATAAATTGGGTTTTTACATTATATATTAGGCTTCTCTTACATAAGTTATATGTAGCTTCATGAGTGACTTGTGCAGTGCCATTTTTTAAAAATTATTAAATTTTAATTATCTATGTGTAATAGAAAGCATATTTCGTTGTGATCTATTGAAGAAATGACATAACTAACTTAAGTTATAATACCACAATTTTCTGTATAATATGAACATTTCTACTTATTTTATTATTTTGATTTAACACGGTTCCATGTTGTGCAATATATTCAGAAATTTTACACGAACTAAATTTAATTTGGAGTTTTATCGGTCTACGTATCACAAATCATGAACACAGGATATTATTTTTTACTCATTGGATAGTAAAGTATAATCAAAACTCAAAACAAATGATCAATAAGCACAATAAGCTAAAATGAATCGTAATTAACGATTGTGACATGCTTTAATTTTTTATTTTTGAATAATACAATCACTAGACGCTGAACGAAACTTCAAAATTTTCATTCAAACAAAATTGTATTAAATTGTTGCATATGTTTTTACATGATTGTTTTCTGGTGTTGTTGGTCTTTGTTCTGGTGGTAAAGATTTTTTAATATTTAACTTTTTTCCATTAAAGTTTCGGGATAATATTAATTTAAATTCATTTGGTGTTTCTTCTTCCGTATACAATCGATCCGTAAAAAAAATACGTCTTATTCTACAATTGGCATGTATTGAAACACGTACAGTTTCCAAATAATTTGTTCCATAGGCTTTTCTTGTAAAATCAGCTAAATTAAATTGAATTTGATTCCAATCCGGTGATAATCCTAATGGCATACGTGTATAAAATGTTTGCACACATGTTATACTCTGATAATTTGATGTTGAGAATCGACGTAAAATATTTTTGTCATCAAGTATCTACAATTAATAAAATTAAATTTTATTTAATAAAATAATTAAACACATTCATAAAAATTTTTTTTAAATTATTAAGCAATAAAATCAATAGTTTCATTTCAATTCGAATAAAATCCATGTTTGAATATTACAGCACTACATTTAAAAAAAAAGCAAGTTACTTTTACTTGACATGCTTAAAAAATTTAATATAATACAAATTTCGTTCTTAGATTTTGTAGTTTCTATATAGAATGAAAATTGTAACAAAGCTCTTATATCTAAAATTTAATCCCGAATATTTTTATAGAAAAATCTACTTGATTAACTTACAGTTATTTCGAAAGCAAAAAATTTACTCATATTCTTTACTAATAATATAAAGAATGGTAATTTTATTGCCAATGACATTTTTGGATCAATTGGTGTTGTAATATAGGTTTTGACAATATTTGTCCCCACTATTTCCAAAACAAGTGAATTAATATCTTTATCAGTTACACGTTTAATGTGACCATTTTTAACCTAAAATTATTATTTGGATTTTAAAAATTTTCTTTTTGTTTCAATCTACTTCATTTCATAAATTTGAAATTCAACTTACACTTGATTTCCAAATGGATAAAGGATTCGAACCACAGCTATATAAAATAGAAAGTCTCCCTTTCTGATAAGTATTCCTGAACATATTCTGTAAATTTAACGAAATATATGTATTTAAATGCTGTTTAGCGTTAGAGAAAAATAAAAATAAATAAAAATTTTTTGACTTTTTCCATAAACTTATTTGAGAAATTATTAATGAATGTCAAAATTTTGTGACATTCATATGTTATTGATTGTTCATTAAATTTTGAGAAATTTAAAATTTTATGAAAATTATAGTTTTTAAATAATTATTAACAATTGGAATGTGCTGGAAAAAAGCTATCTACAACGACAAAACACTGTTACTACAAAGGGTACGATGTAAGGATTTGGAAAATATGGAAATACCCATAGATACTGTATACGTTAAACAGGGTTTATAGAGAATCATGAGGTCTGCATTAAATTCAGGTTGAATCTTTGATCATTAGTAGTATTGTCAAAATACAAGTAAAGGTATCAAGAAGATATGTTCAAGTTTTCAAGAAAGTTTTCTATTTGAATTGTTAAAAAATATTCTAAGTAACTCAGTGTTGTAGTTTCAACTGCTTAGAAGCTGGAATGGATATTCCTAAGACAAAATTTTTCCAATCCAACTTTTATGATAACTTTATGTAATCGAAAAATAAGCTATTGAAGTCCAAGTTGTACTAAAAAATTGAAACAACAAACAAGAGTAATAAAAAAAAATTAATAAAAAAGGCCATCATAGTTAAATTTTTTTTTGATATTTTTGGTTTTGAAGAGACTTTTTAAGTATATACAGTGTTTCGTCAAATTAGGTGGTTATTAAGTTGCTCTTACGAAAGTAGTACGGAATATTTTGCAAATTGAATGGTTTTACGTACTAAAATTCGGCTACACAGAAGAAAAAATTTAAATTTGTGAATTTAATTAACAAGAGGATTTGATATTTATTTTAATAGTGAAGTTTTTAATTTTACAACCTCAAAACTTCTTTCCTAATAAGTGTAACATATCGTTAAAGAAAATGTAGTTGATATATTCAAAAGAAATATTGTTTTTTAATTGTGTTCAGTGGAAATTCAAAAAATTTTCAAATCTTATTAAATTAGGTTTTGAAAAGTTTTGAAATTTCTTTCCTATAAACTCATATATTGTCCTATTTTTACAGAAAATATGTATTTAAAATAACAAATTTTTCAAGAAAAAGACATATTAATTAATTCCTCCATCGTTTTTATTAAAAGATTTTATTTTGTCGCCTTAAAGGTATTAATAATATTTTTAGTCAGGTCATAAAATTAGGTTCAAAACTCTAAAAAATTAAGATCTATTAATTTCTTTCTGCCACTGTATATGAAAAAAATTAAGAATTACTATTATCATATTAAAAAAATTCATTAGTTGATAGTCAAAAATTTTTTAATAACTTTTTGCAGTAATAAAAGTAAGAAACATATTGTTGGCTCTTGTAACAAAAAAAACTAAAAATTACAAAGAACATTATGTATTATGTAATACATAAATGTGCATGTAAAATATTTCAGCGACATACATATACCAAGAAGAGAAAATAATTAAGCTTTAGGAAAGTAAAATTTGAGCATGGGTGACATGGATGTAATGCAAAAGTGGAAAATTGTTGAAGTTTGATATATATGTATCTATGTATTTCGTCCGACATCCAAAATCTAACATAATCTCACAATCGAATCTCATAAATTAATTTTTTCTACCTCGACTAATTGATTGTTCATTAAATTTTGAGAAATTTAAAATTTTATGAAAATTATAGTTTTTAAATAATTATTAACAATTGGAATGTGTTGGAAAAAAGCTATCTACAACGACAAAACACTGTTACTACAAAGGGTACGATGTAAGGATTTGGAAAATATGGAAATACCCATAGATACTGTATACGTTAAACAGGGTTTATAGAGAATCATGAGGTCTGCATTAAATTCAGGTTGAATCTTTGATCATTAGTAGTATTGTCAAAATACAAGTAAAGGTATCAAGAAGATATGTTCAAGTTTTCAAGAAAGTTTTCTATTTGAATTGTTAAAAAATATTCTAAGTAACTCAGTGTTGTAGTTTCAACTGCTTAGAAGCTGGAATGGATATTCCTAAGACAAAATTTTTCCAATCCAACTTTTTTTAACTCTCCAAAACCACCCCTGCTCTCCTATGACATTTTTCCCAAAAAAAATAGAGGATTAATTTCTCGAACGCGCTTAACTCGGAACCGGATCACTCAGTATATATCACCAAATCGAAGATTTATTCTGAAAACAATAGAAATTATTCTAATCTCATCAGATTTTTTAAAAGTAAAATGGCGAGAATCAATGTTTTGCGAGAACTTTGAACGACGATTAGCTGATTTTAATGTTGTCTGATTTCTGAAAAATGATTAAGTTTTGCTGTAAAGTTTAAGGTTGATCAGATAATAATTTTAGTCTAATATGTAAACAGTCATCAGACTTAATAGTAGAGTTAATGTTAGAATTTATCGTATTAGTAAAGGACATCCTAGAGTTTGAGAAAAAATTATGTAAAAGCGTAAGACACCGTATATTAGATGTATAAAATATAAATAATTGCCTACCTTGTTCACAGTATGTAAAAAATTTTATGTTCAAGTAACACGTAAATAACTCTGCACTATTCTATGCTCTCCATGTATGCAATAGAATAAAAATTACATATTCGAAAATGGCGCAAATTGGTCACCGTTGTTTTTTTGCTTTTACAATAATATTCAATATTATCTTAAAGGACCTTATTTGGAGCGTATTATACATTCTTCACCTAATACCGTTGTACCTACAGTAGTAATTTTTTGCTATTGGATCTTTTGCCCATAAATGTGTAGATGTAATAAAAATTGAACTTGAAATAAATTAAGAAACTTGTTTTTTCTAATACTACTGCTATAATAAATATGAAATTCAAAAATTTTTCTTTTACTTCTAATTTGTGAAACAATTTATATACTATCTCTTGATTAACTGTTTGTAGTATTATTATGTAATGTTAAGAAATTTTACAATGATTTCATAATTTTATTATGGTTTAATAGAAAGTCGAATATGTAATCATAAATCTTAAATGCAAGTTTCTTACATTGGAAATGTAATTAAAGCAGCATCTTTTCAAATATTTCTGTTACCTTTAAGATTTACTAATATAAATTTAAATGATTTCATTAAAAATATTTTGGAATAATATTCTATATAGCGTATAGCATCTCAATTGGTATGTGGCGGTACGCGCAATGCAACGAAAGACTTTAGCTATACAGTAAATAATATATTTTAATAAATATAAAAATAAATTAGATTTTTGTAATATAACTTAATCAAAAACCTACAATTTAAGCTTTCATACTAGCATCAATTTTTTAAAATTCGTAACTTGGAGATTTCTCCTAAATGTATGCAAAACTATATGGAAATGAGCGAATTACATTATGAATTCGTTTTCATTATACTTAAACCAAAACTTACGAAATTGCATTTAAAAACGAAACTTACACTTACAGCCTCATCGTGTATCTCGCTTTACTCAGTTTTTACTCACTTTCAAATCAGTTCTCAGTATTTTCTAATGGATGTTTCACTTTTCCAATAAGATTACTCATTTCTTTAACTGGATTTTTGTATTTTTTCTCAAATTATCGATTGAACGTCTAACTTTTAAATACAAAGTGAATAAATTTTGTATGCATTTTAAAAAAACCAAATACGCAATACCAAATATTTCTTCTCTCTCGAAAATTACATTATTCAAGTATATGATAGTTACTCCCTTTCCTTTCACTTTCCGAGTAAAATATAGCGAGATAGACGATCAAGCCCAAAAATTGTTATAGGGAGCTCAATTTTGAAAATTTTTAGTTTAAAGTACACAATATAATGTTGAAGATAAAAACAAAATCTTGCTTATAATATTGTGAAAGATAACGAATTTTGAGTTGTTGCAGTTTTATAGCAATTTAGCGATACATAGTTGCATAACAATAAGTTTAAAATAACTAATAAATACATCTGTTACATATACTTATGATTTACTGTATTTACTTATGAATATGTATATATGTATACGTCCATATATCCTTATTAATGTTATTATTTTCCATTGTATTAAAAATTCATTCTTGTTCTTTATGGAATTTTTCTTTTAATCGATTGCATTATTTAATAAATATGCCTGAAAAGAGTACATTTAGTAATAATAAACTTTACTATTTAAAGATCATAAATCTTAATATTAAATGAAAAAGAATTTAGAATTGTTTTTTATGACTGCCGCATAAAATTTGCACATATATACTTACACAATATGTGTATATATATATTAATAAGACTAATCAAAGAATCAAATACGGCATCGGCATCATCATCATCAGCATCATTGGCATCGATTTTAAACGAAAGAATGAAATAATAAATAATATTGTAAAGATGATGGTATGGTAACAAACTAAATATAAAGAGTTGACTTGGACTTCAATAGCTTATTTTTCGATTACATAAAGTTATCATAAAAGTTAAGAAAGGAAAATTCTATACTTATTTGAAAATTTTCTTTCTTTTTTTATTTTTCATATTTCATTTACTTTTTTAATTTCATATTTAGATCATTGTTTATATATATAGATGAATTTACTATTTTAAAAGTATACATACTTACATGTGCTTAACGTTTACATCATAATGAATTGAACCTGTTTTAAAAATAAAGTTGTATAACACGTATTTTATATCTTGTTTGTGTACTTGAAACAAAGTTTAACACAGAGCGCAAAAAAAAATCAAAAAACAAAAACTGATTTCGTTTAAATCAACTTCACATTCTCATAATTGAAGATTAATCAAAAATATTATTAAATAAAAATGGTAAAATAACCATACATTGTAAATAATTCAATGGATTTTCGGCGTCATTGTTGTATTTTATGATAGAAGAATATGTCTTCTAATATTTTTCGTAGAGTATTTATTTATATTACAAGGGCGTTTTATATTAACATTATAAGGACGTTGTAATCAGAAACATCTACTTCTAGAA